ACTCACTCAGCAAGGATGTTACAACAGCCCCGAACTGGGGCGTTGTCTCATTCCTAGCTCTCCCAGTGGCCTTGGGCTGCCTCTTGGGTTTGAACTTGTTGCTAAGGTCAAAGAGAATTCCTCAGGAGGACTACAAATTGTGGTGTAACTAGCCAGAAAAGCCATTATCTCCCATCTGGTTTGGTTCTGATGAAATTGTGAATCCCCAGGGGAGATGAGAAATGACACACTTCCTTTCTAGAGTGCCCAGAAATACTTCTTTTGAGCATCAAGGATTTCTTGGGCAGCAGCCAAACTAGACTTTCCAGAAAGCAACCGCAAGAGAACTTTTGTCTTCCCAGGTCACCTTCCTCTCTCCTCAATACCTCGTTCTTCTTCACCTGATGGCTTGGCCCCTTACTCACCTGCACCTCAGGAGATGTCACGGAAAAAGAGGAAATAGTCACTGTTAGAAGAGAGGGTGCTCATGACAGTAGACAGCATCCTTAAGGAAAGGTGGCTGGAGAGGCATGTGCAAGGCTCTCAGGGGAGATGAATTTCCATGGGCCTGAGAATGCCTAGTGAGGCTAGGGCTCCCTGACAGCCTTCCAACGGGGTGACTGGGTTGTCCCCTGTGGTACCATCTCCCCCCACACTGAAGGCCATCCGAGTGAGAGTCACATTCTTCTGTTGTGATCCACCTGGCTTTCCCTGACTAGTTTTCAAAAGTAGACCACTAGGCCTCATCGTCTGGAAACTCCCCTGGAAACCTGTCCCCAGTGGGTGATCTTGCTGGCGTTTGAAATACCGGTGGCAGACCTTCCTGCAAGGCGACAGACACACTGACAGCCTCATGCTGGAAAGCAGGAGCAGAGGGGACAAGCGCAGGGCAGGCTGTGGGTGAGTTGTTAAGTGGTGAGTGGCTTAAGCTCAGCGTGGCAACAGTGTGAATGGCACAGTGAAGGTCTCATCTGGGGTGGGGTTGAGAGCAGCATGATGTGATTGTGCTGTTGCCCCCTCTAGTCAGGGGAGGGCCTGGTTTAGTCTCTAGCCAGGGTCCATTTCTAACTTGCCAGCCGGCCACAAGACATCACCCCCAGAGACTGTCCCTGGGATTTGGCTCTCCGTGCTTCCCCAGTCAGGTGGCCTGACACATCGGCTGCCAGAGGCGTCATTTTCCTCCCTAATAACCTTGGGTCTAAATTGTAGAGTCACACAAGGGCATGTATTGAAATTAGCATTTGAAAAGAAACCGCCTTGCTTTCAGTTTAAGCTGACATGGTTTCTGTTCCCTGGGTGGAAATGCAGTTTATGAATCATCATAGGGCCATCAGATGCTGCATGTGGAGGTCACCCGGAGGAGAGGAGGCCGGGGGAGAAGTTGGGCAGCAGCGTCCTATTTTCTTCCAGCCTCAGGAGGCTGCAAACGTTGAAGCGACAGTGTTAAAGAGCGATATTTATCTACCATGTACAAGGGGGCTGCAGAGAGTAAGGGGGGGTTTCTCCAGCGACTCTTTGGAGCCCCCATGGGTGTGGGAGCTAGGTGCTCTGTAGGCACTGTCAGCGTGGGGCATGAAGGTGTGCCCACCCCAGGCACACCTCGCTCAGTCACTTTCCACGAGTTGGCAGCTGCAGCGTTGTTCATCTAACCAGCTCTGCCCTGGAAGAGGAGCATGAGACGTGTGTGAAGTAGTTGTTTCCGTAGAGCAGCAGTTCTCAACCTGTGGGTCGAGACCCCTTTGGGAGTCAAACAACCCGTTCACAGAGGTCGCCCGATTCATAACAGTAGCATAATGACAGGTATGAAGTAGCGATGGAAACAATTGTATGACTGGAGGTCACCAGAACATGAGGAACTGTATGTAGTCAAGGGCCGTGGCACGAGACAGGTTGAGAAGCAGTGCCCTAGACCCTGCGAGAATACCTTCTGCGGACGTGAAGACAAAGGTCTGCCTTTCAGCAACTACTACTAGAGATTGTTGGTGGCCACCGCTGAGTGGATTCCGTTCCCGGGTGACCCTTCCCCCAAACGTGCAGAGTAGAACTAATTGATCAGTACAATTTTCTGTGCCCCGCCCCCCCAAAAAAAACCACTTGTGGGATATCCAGGATCTCTCCTACTTCTGATTAATTGGGAAGAAGCTGAGGTTTGATGAGTGGCCTCCATTAGAACATCACCCTACGATCCCATTGAGTTTCTTCAGTAGGAGGGCAGACTGGGACTGCCCCGTAGTGTTTCTGAGGCTGCAAAGTCTTGACAGAAGTGAAGAGCCTCGGCTTCCTGGCGTGGAGCTGGTGGTGAGTTCAAACCAACAACCTTGTGGTTAGCAGCACAAGGCCACAATGCCCAAGGAGCATTTCATCCCTCATGAAGGGGGAGGACAAGCCGGAGGAGGGATCCAAAAGCTTGTGGACTTTATACCACCTTTTAATTCCATTCTATGGGGCTTTTGAGGTGCTCTCTCTGTGCTGAAGCTGAAATCCTCACCCAGATGAATTCTGCTCGTATTGCTTATGCCACTGCTTGCTTCAAGTAGGTTACTACCCAGAGGCTCTGCTGGCGAAAGGGCTGGAGGTGAGCTCCCAGAAAGCCCATCAACTGCAAGTCAGGCTTAGAAGTCAGGATTTGTTCAGTGAGAACTTGGAATAATAAAAAATTTCCTCCCTCCCTACCCCCCACGGTTCATCTTGGATTCTAAGAATAGGAAGGGCTTTCCTTTAGCCTCTCTTTACCTGCCAAGGCACAGGAGGGGAGCTGCAAGTCACCAGTGTGGACAAGCCATATCGTCCTGTCCCTTTCATTTGCTCCAGAAAGACCCACGGGGCGAGGAGCTGCTAGAGCCCTGCGTGGATTCCCTTTAGGGGTGGGGTACACCCGTCTCTTCTCCAGAACATTGCCCTCAGCCAAAGGAAGCCAGTGCGTTTCGTGGTGGGTTCTTACCTTAATACAGGAGGCCCGGGGTTCACCTCCTGCACAGTCGCCCTCCGTTCGTGGAAACCTGTGTGATGCTGAGCAGCTTTCAGTGGGGCTCAGGAACGTCTCTGCTTCCAGGAGAGAACATCTCCATGTTGATCAGTCCCAAAGCCACCCTGTGCATTCGACCTCGGCAAAGATGGCAGGCAGGTCAGATAGCAAGGGCATGGGGCTTCCTCCCAGACTCACCCACCCCCAGCATGGTGCCATCCTTTGAACTTGTGATCTATTGCCAGAGCCAGTTGTTGACACCTGGTCGGCATCCTCTGCATTGGGCTCTCCCTGCCCATCTTCATCTTTATCCTAAAGCCTGTACTAGAAGTGCTGGCAGGAGGGGAAGATACCGCTTCAGACGTGTCCTTTCCCAGAACCTAGCCATGGAGGAAAGAGCCGGGTGGTCTCTGGTCAACGGGCTCCCAGAGAAGAGGTTGCCCCTCCCCGTGTGGCATCTGCGCTCTCCTGAAGTTCTCTGTACAACCATCCCTGTCCTGCTTCCCAATGCTCCTCGAGGGGCAGCAGTGAAACTGGGGGGCAGAGACCACCCTTCTCAAGTGTCGGCATGTCCTCTGGGTGCACTGGGCCACCTACAAGAAGAGTGAAGGCAAGGCACTGAGAGGAAGCAGGCCACATAGCAGAGGTTTCAGTTGGCGCCTGGGAAAGTGGATGCGCCTGCCCCTTGGCCACTGGGGTCATCCAAGCTCATGGACAACGCTGGGGGTTAGAGGAGCACGGTGCTCTGTAGAGTTTGCAATGGCAGTGACCTGGTGTAAGCTCACTGCCAGATCTTTTTGCCAAGATGCTTCAAGGCAGGTTGGGACTGCCCACCTTGTGATAGTTGAGTGCTTACCCATTTGCCCTACCCAGGGCCCTTTAGATACACACACACACACACACTTTACTGTGTAATTTACTTGGTGGCATAAGGTATCCTGATAGCATAGTGGATACGAGTTGGCTTTCAATCCACAAGGTCAGCAGTTCAAAACCACCTCCTGCTCCTCAAGAGGAAGATGGGGCTTTCTATTCCTGTTAAGAGTTACAGTCCGGAAACCCACAGGGGCAGTTCTACTCTGCCCTGAAAAAAATGTAATGGCTGGCAGTGGGTTATATTCTATCAAGGAGACTCAAAAACTTTGTGTGAGTGTGTGTTGGAGGGGGAAATCTGTTACCTCTGAACTCTATTTTTCCATGAATTTCCTTCATATAAGGAGTCTGAGTGACCCCAAAATTTAGAGCTACAACTGTTAACCTGAGTGGCTCCACAGAGACCACGCTGTGCTCCAGCTGTACCCTGCCCCACGGACTTGCTATGAATCGAAAAAGTCAATGGAGCAGCACCTAACAACAGACGCACACAGTATCTATGCTCATAGGCCTCTTCCACAAGGTGGTGGGAAGATGCCATGATGTTTCTTCCCCGTGAACTTTCCGAAGCCCCCGCTATGATGGTAGCAACATCTTAGTATACAGCGCTGGTTAGACTTTTAGCTATTTACTGAAAGGTTGGTGTTTAGAAGTTGTTACCTTTTCCCCTTGGGTTCAGTCACGTTGCCGGCCTTGGGAAGAAATCATGGGTGCAGTTCTACTGTCCTGCAGAGTCGCTAGGGCTTGGCTGGTGGGTGTCATAGGTCATGCGCTGGGCTGCAGGAAAAAGATGAGACTGTCTGTTCGCATCAAGAGTTATAGCCTCAGAACCCCACAGGGGCCATTCTACCCTGTCCTACAGGGTCACTATGAACCAGAATGGACTTAAAGGTGGTGAGGCTTTTCTGTTTTTGGAGAAGGTTGGTGCCTGCAAGGTGAAGGGTGGTCTACATCCTTGCCCGTGCTATCCAGGGTCAATATGAGTCAGAATGGGTCTCGCGGGCAGTGGGCTGGGTTTCTGAAGCTCTGTGATCTGGCCAGTGGGATACAGGCTGCTGTCTTCGTGCTACCCTGCAGCAGGTGGGCCCCGTTCCTTGTTGATCCCACCCCCACTGGGCGGGCCTGCTGTGCTCTTCTGAGCGAGCCTGTGATGGACTCACCCTGTGCTCTCTCTTCCTTCCAGTTACGGACGAGTTTATGCTGCCGACCCCTACCACCACACACTTGCTCCAGCCCCCACCTACGGCGTTGGTGCCATGGTGAGTACCCAGCCCCACCGCCCCCACCCCACCCCCCAGCTGGGACCTTCCTCTGGGTTGATGCTTAAAGCCCTCTCACTTCCCCTTAATTGAATTTGTCTCTGGTGCTAACAGCAGCTAAAACACCACATCCCTCCTCCCCGGTAAACTTGATTAAATGCCTTCATTTCTTGGCAATGTAGTGCATGTAAGTTATTATATTTCCTAATTTTGCAAGTCTCACCTAGCGGAGCACTAACCTTAATGAAATAATTAGTCACGTTGATAATTAAATCCATCACTAACCGAACGCAGTGTCAATGCCGAATTTTTTTTTGTTCTGTTTTTTGTTTCCCTCCCTCGCTGCTCATTCCCAAAGCCCCAAGGCTCCAGCTGGGACTTCAGAGGAGCTAAGCTGCACACTTCCAGGGCCCTGCTTTCAGGCAGCCGAGACTCTGACTGCCCCTCCTCCTCCCCTCTTACAATTCATGTTGAAAGTCATAGTCGCCCAGGAGAGGAAATAGAGAGGGGTGCACCTTGTGGGTGTGCTTAGAACCTAAGGAATTAGAAGGGATCTGCTGGGTTTGGAGGGTCGCGTTGGTTTTTAGGGGAGGGCTGGGCGGGAGGTGAGGGTGGGATGATTTTGCCTGTACGTGTTCGAACTTCTATGCACAAAGACTTTGGGGTAAGACATGCTCATGGCAGGACAGCGTATGCAATCATTCCAAAGCTTTTGGCATGCAGTTTTCTGCTCAGATTATCAGCTCCCCGCCCCCCAAAGGAAATCAGTCCCCACTACATTTAAACAAAAAAGAAGTAGCTGAGAGCCACCTCCTAGCCCCTTAAAGCCATGTCGACAGTCCACTGTCGCCTTGTCATCAAGATTCAGCCACGATATGGGAAAGATGATTGATCTTTGCACAAGCTTCATGACACAGAGCCACTAGTTTGTGCGTCTCCCTCCTCTGAGATCTGCTGCCAGACAGAGTGCTTGGCTGAGGCAAGGGGCTTCCAAGAGGTTGTGGATGGCCAAAATAATCAAGTTTTCCCACAAACTTTTTGAAACCCCCCCTTCCCCCCCAAAGGGATTTCAGAATCCATGCTGATTTCACATTCGACAGCTCAGCCACCTGAGGGAAATGTGCTGGGCAGGAGAGCTGGAAGGACCTGCCCAATGAGTTGAGTGATTTCAGGGCTCCTGGGTAGAGATTGATATTTTCCCAAGGAGACCTAGACCCAAGCCCAAGCCCATTGCTTCCAAGGCTTTCCCCACTCATACCAACCCTTGAAGACTGCCCCATCGGGTCTCTGAGATTGCCATATCTGGTGGGGTGACCCTGCTGACCTTTTGGTTAGCGGATGAGCACTTAGGGACTTCACCACCAGTACCAGCACCTAACTCCTGTGCGACATACGTAACACTTGAATCAGTCACACACACACACACACACAAATCACAGTGCAACCCCTACCCCCAATCATCATGTAGTTTGTATCCTTTCAGCTATCAGGACTGGCCAACAGAATTTGGTTTTAATGGGGACAGGGGGAAAGAGGCGCATTTTCTTGATTAGAAGCTATGGAGGGGAGTGTCAAAACTGGCCCAATGTTCAGCTCACCTAGAAAGCCTCGGGGTGGGCAGGGGATATGCCCCCCTGTTCAGTGTGATTTTGAGTGTATTTTTTTTTTTTTGCCATGAGTCTTTTTTTTGATGATTCCCATTGTTGCAAAAGGAAAATGTAAAAACGCGCACCCCTCACATTGCTGTGTTTCAGAATGCTTTTGCACCCCTGACTGATGCCAAGACTAGGAGCCATGCTGAGGATGTGGGTCTCGTTCTTTCTTCATTGCAGGCTAGTATATACCGAGGGGGATACAACCGTTTCGCTCCATACTAAGTGACACAAAACAAAACAAACAACCATAAAAACCTTCCAATGTGGGGGAGAACGAGGAAGCTTTCTGAGGCCTGGGTGTTGCAATACATGCAGTAGAGCATCATTTTAGCAACTCGAAAACAAAGCAAATTAATTATGAGAAAAGAGGAAAAACTTTACATTTTTTATCTTATACCTCAGATATTTTGTTCTGTGTATTTTAATATCGTGGGTCCTTTTCATTTCTGAATATTCTGTAGTTTGGTTGCTGGCGGTAGACTTCCCCCCTCTTTCTTTTGTTTGTGGTTGAGCTAGACAGAAGGCGGATGCCAGATCCGCATTCAAACACACTGGTATAGGGCCAGAGCGCTAGATCACGTAAATGAATTATGTCTGCTGACTAGGAAGCTTGCGGGGTTCTCAGCTGTTTGGGAAGAGAGTAGTGACTATCAGAGTCTGTTCCCCCCACTTGCATCTGCATTACTTTAGTTTATGGAGGAAGGGTGGAAGGGATTGGGCTACGGTTTTGGCTAAACTTTTAAAACAAACAAACAAGATGAATCTCTACAACCCGCTGTACTACCAGATAAGAACCGTTCTAAGTCACTCATTGTCCTTGGACGCCAAAGGCGGTTTGTAAGGGGGTTGCTTCTAGCATTGGAGTTGAATGAAGCTGGACCACCCCACCCTGTAAACCATTCCACCCGGCAGTATTCAGCTTCTTAACCAGCCACCAGTTACTTAGGAAAAAACTAAACTAAACTAAACCTGCTAGTTAGACCATCAAACAAGCATTCTTTTTATATTTCTTCCAGTATAATAAATTATTGATATCATTGCTGACTTTTATATTATGGGAGGGAAAAATAATAATAATAACATTAATAAAAAGGTGATTAAAAAGCACTGTTTCTATTTTTTTCTTTTTTTCCAAAAAAAAGAGAAAGTAATAAAAACGTAAATTCTTTGTACCAGTTTAAAAAAAAAAAACTGTATAAAATTTCCATCTGTGCAGTGGAGTTGCTCCATTCTAGAAACAGTCTATATAAGCTTTCGTTTTAGCCTAGTTAGTAACCAAGTGTTAAGAGACAGACATATAATTTTTATGGAATTCCACGATTATATCCGATTTATAGAAAGCATTTTACAAGTATTGCAACCGTCAAGTAGCAGTCATCATGGTCTTTTCATCTGCTCAGTACTTTTTGGAAACCCGACTGTGTAAGCAAGCTGCAATTTTTCAGGCCCTGAGCGCCTGGCACCCTTTCAACTAGGACTAGCTCAAAACTGCTCTCTTTAGTTCCATCTCCAAGGCCCAGGACACTTGTCAGAAGGAAGCAAAAAATAATCATCATATAAAGCAGACCTCCCCCCATTCTTCCCTGAAAAAGGAGAGCTACCCCCACCTCCTCCAACAGCCCAGATGCAAGGCCACAGCTGGAAAATTGCAGCTTGTACCAGACACCTCTCTGTGTGAGTCCTCTACACCCTGTCCTGTTGGTTTACAAGTTCATGTAGGTTGGGGTCTCCGTCTCGGGTCCTTCCCGCGTGTGTTTGGGTTTTGGTATTGAAATCAGAAGCAGCCGCAGCGGCTGTCCCTGCAGGCGCCTCACTGCGCTCCTGCAACATCCTCAATGCGTGCATGCCCCACGGGGGCTGCACTTTAAGTCAATTCTCGGCTCACTGCTGCCAATCTGCTGTAACAACTCTGCTTTAAGATAAAAACCAAACAAAACTCACAAAAAAATTAAAAACAACAAAAAATAACAAAAAAAAAAAAACAACAAAAGTGTTTGTGATCCAGCTTTTTCTCTCGTCATCTTATGTGCATGCAGTTAAAATCAGTTGGATATTAAACCATCAATAAAGTTCCACCAGATTTGAACACCCGGCTTCTGTAGCTTCGATCCTTCAGACCAATCACAAATCATCTGGGAGAGGGCGACTGCTTAGCAGCCAAAGGATGAAATGCTTTCCTCCCTTCTCCTCCCCTCCCCAGACTGATTTGGGCAGGGCAAGGGCCTGAGGGGTTGTTCTGTAGCTTCAGACAGACATTCTCCTTGCCCTACTTGAAAAGATCAGGTCTGGGACATTGGTGCCTTTTAAAGGACACTACTCGATTAAAACAGCTGCAGCATCCTACCCTGCACCCGGGCAGGGGTGAGCGAGAGTGCAGGAACAGGGGAGGCGGCGGCGGGCAGGGAGAGAAATGGGATTTCTCCCAGTTGCCTCTGCTCTCAAAGTCCAACATTTTTGCATTGTGTTTGGAAACACAAACATCGAATTCTTACTGTGTTGGTTAAAGTAAAATCCATTTGCGGCTTTGATTTTCATTGATGAACTGTACCCCTTCCCCAGCCCCACCCCATGATTGTATGTAGTTTTAATTAAAAAAAATCATTTAGAAAAAGTGGGTGCCAACTAACTATTCAAAAATCTCTTGTTTAAGCACTCTTCCAGGATGTCAATAAGTCATTTTGGATGTAAACGAACATTTTGGATTTTTTTTAACTATTTATTTGGAATGTTTTCATTTATCTAAATAACTATTGCTATATTGAATTATGGAAAAAAGATTACTATCATGTGTGGCATATAGTGACTTCTTAACACACACATCACGCAATCTGCAAACCCAGATAATGTGTATATCTGTCTTTAGAACTTAGTGTTTATATCACTTACAGTGGTTTGTGAATAAAGAAAACTGGTTTGTAATATCAAAAAAAAATAAAAGCTTAGTCTGAAAAGGTATGAATGCGTTGGTGTTCTGAATTCCTTTCACCTCTCAGCATCTCTGAAGTGGGTGGAGTCAGCCTTCACCTGTGCACATCTCGGGGCCACAGGTGGATGCTGCCCAGGTGAACATCCTTGGTCATCCTTCAAGAACCGGCCAATGTAATTTAAGGCACAGAATTCTGAAATAAACCAAATCCACTCAAACAGAACATTCAACCTAGTTCTTTCTCCACTGAGGCATTACAAAACCAAGCCGCCAACACCACGTGCTCCTGGGAACTACAAATCAAGCACATGTTCAAGTTATTCGTGCACGATTTGCAGGGAAGGGGGTGAGGTGGGGGCTGGGGATCACAGAAGCAAATGAAAAGGCAATAGCAGCCAGTGGTAGAATTAATATTTGACATGCTGCTCCCCATCCTGTATTCATTGTTTAAATAATGAATATCAGCGTGACATTAGTGATCCTGTCAAAGATCTTAAGAGTATCTCCATCTTCTCCCATTCTGAATATGCTAGCAGGTCCAAGGAAAAGTTTCCCACAAAGTGCACCCTAGATTATTCTGCTTTCCAACCCTGTTTCTGCCACTTGCAGCTGTAGCTTCTTGGTGGGTGCCCCGAATTCCATCCTGACTCAGAGCTGCCCTGTAGGAGACGGCAGAATGCCCCCAGAGGGTTTTCTGTCCATCAGTTGATTGCCGCTGAGGGAGTCCACACTGCCCGTGGCCACTCGTGCCACCCACTGGGCTCCATAGAGCAAATTAAACCAAAGCTCTACCCTGCGTCTGTAAGCTCATCATGGCAAGCATAGTAGCACCCACCTCTTATTACTGGTCCAACGCAATGGATCCAAAGGTCTCTGCCCAGTGCTCCTAGCAGCACTTCCCAAAGCATAAGCAATCATTGGCGGGCGAGAAAAGGGAGGCACCCAGGACCACATTGCCTGCCAAGGGCCAGGCTCCACTTGGTGAGCCCAGCGGCGACATGGAGTGCAGGGCGTCTCCTGGGCTGCAAGCATGTGGTTTATGGAACAGTCTGATTTGCCCTCCCTTTGAAGGCAAAAACAGATACAAACGACAAATCCAGCGCTGTTGAGTCAGACTACAGGCATAAATTCCTCACCCGGGTCATCTTCACCTGCTGCAGCGGCAGCTTTTAAAGGCTGGACCAGACAGGGTAGAACTGCCCCTGAGAGTTTCTGAGAGCCTGGTCTTTCTCCTGAAGAGAGGTTGGTGCTTTCAAACCGCTGACCTTACGGACTGCAGCCCAATGCAGAACCACTACACCCCCGGGCTCCATGCTTGAATCAAGCGAGGCTAATTCAGAACCATGTGCACCTGTTCCAATTGACCTACAAAGTCTTAGACATTCTCCGGAATGAATCTCATCCATGCCCCCCTTGGACTGTATAATGACTTCTTGATGAGAAGTCTTATTCTGGGCACCCCCAGAACACGTTGGCTCCTCAGCCCCCTTCATACACTGCAGGAGGTCTTCCCAGAAGGCATTGTCCCATTGCGAGTCTAGTTACCAGTCCCTTCTTTGCAGCCACCTACACATAGGATGGTGCAGCTTATCAAAGGAGCCTCGCTCGCACAATGCTACTAAGCCTTCCACTGCTGACCAAAACGCTGCTGATTTGAAACCTACCCAGCTCCTCCACGGGAGAAAGACCGGGTGATGTGCTGCCGTAAAGAGAGTAGCCTAGGAACCCAGTTGGGCACTTCTCTGCGGTGCAGGGTCGCTGTGAGGGCGAAGTGACTTCAGGGGCACCCAGCAGCTATAGCCGCGTGCAGCTGACGGAGTGCGTGGCTGGTGCAGACAGTTACTCTGCTCAGCCACTTAACCCAACGGTGGAGACTTGACCCGTGTTCTCCCGAGGTTCCTGGGAAGAAAGGCCTGGCAGTCTGTTTATGAGATGTCAGGCACGGAAAACCCTGTGGAGCACAGTGCTACTCTGACACCCAAAGGGGTCTCCATGAGTCCGAATCAACTCAAGACAACATAACCGAAAGCCAAACCCGCAGGCTCTCATGGACTTCCGTTGCCCGACATCAGGGGACCCTTGGGGACAGTGTCACTCGTTTACAAATAAGCTCAGGGCGTAAGGGGCCCTGTGATTGACCTGGGGTCACATCTAGCAACTAGCTGGTGGGGACAGACTTCGCGTGATGTTAGAAACGTCTCACTCTGGTGGCTCTGGCCTTTTTCAAAAACTCTGCTCCATTGGTGACCATGATGATGGTGGCGGTGATGCTGCGCATGCTAAACATGTGCTCCCAATGACCTCCTTCCCAAATATGTGAGCCTATGCTCGGTGCAGCAAAGGTGGCCCTGGTTTTAAGCTGGTCAGTGGCAGAGAGGGAAACAAAATTTGCCTCCTGAAATGTTGCTTTGTAAAGGAATCCCCACAGAGGGAAACAAAA